CACACTCCTTTACCTTTGCTCGCTTTCCGGTTATCATGATACTCCCATTTTTTTCTCACTTTAAGGAGTAAGGCATTTTCTTTTAAAAAAAATGTTTTTATTGATTTCAGAGAGGAAGGGAGAGGGAGAGATAGAAACATCAGTGACGAGAGAGAATCATTGATTGATGATGCTCCCTACTGGGGATCGAGCCTGGAACCTGGGCATGTGCCCTTGACCAGAATCGAACCCGGGACCTTTAGTCTGCAGGCTGATGCTCTATCCACTGAGCCACACCGGCCAGGGCAGTAAGGTGATGTTTTATCTTACAAAAACATCAGAGACTCAGGACCAGCCACCTGTCCCGGGCCACACAGCGAGTAGGCAGGTGGTACGTGCAAAGGCCTGCCAGGAACTGGCCCCTCGGCCGCCCACCTACACCTTTCCACCTTCTACCCCCAGCCTGGGCACAGGATTTGAGAGCAGCTTGGAAACAGACAGACAAAGTGACATTTTCACAATGACACTCTCCCCCCCCCCCCCCACAGATGGAGAGTGTTGGTGTGTATGGATTCTGTGGGTGTACATCGAAGAACAAAATGAAGTGCGACTCAAGGTGGGAGGTAGCCGCTACAGGTAGGACATGAACTAATTTCTGTAAGTACCTAACTGTCTGAAATGGTTATCCCTAGGCTGTCACTCCTTTACAGAGGGACCCCTTTAAAACGGGTGCGTGGGGACTTAAGCACACATGAGACGTTGGCTAAACATCTGCAAAACATCAGCTTGTTCAGAATGCCAACAAGTAGGTGGAGGTGTGAGCACCAGGGTGTTTCAGAGGCACCGGGGTCAGGGAATGAAGTCCTTTCCCATCGACCCAAAGCCTGGAATGGCTGCTGTCTGGGATTGCTGGAGGGGAGTCTGGCCTGCTTGGCACACCCTGGTCCCCTGCTCGGCTCTGTTTGGGCCCAGGCTGAAGCGCTCCTCGGCGCTTGTTTGTGCTTTTGACATGTCTCTCCTCTCCGAGGACTGGTCCTCTTCTTCCTTCTCCCCCATCGCCTCCCTCCAATTCTGGAGAAAACAAGTGGACTATTCATGGAGAAAGAGAAAGAGTGAGCAGGGAGGGGGAGATGCCACCGACAAACTCCATTGAAAGCCACTGGCTGTTCATTTACATTCACACTTTTAAAAAATGTTAACTAATGATGTTAAATGGTTTGCCAAAGGTCCTGGCAGGTCAGTTGTAGAAGTGTCATTTCTGCCTAATTAGGGCTCTTGTGGCTGCCCGGGGCCTCCCAGTGCAACTGGTGACAAGCCGAGAGCTGACAGCTTCAATTGGTGCCAATAGGAAGGTTGGACCGGTCATGTTTTCTAACTCAGCCAGGTGTTTGCTGAATGGGGGAGGGGACTGGGGAGATCTGAGCGCCTCTATGATCCTTTTTCTTTCACGGCTCCCTCCCAAGTCCTTCCCCTTTGCCTGTCTTGCCTTGTGTCAAGGTCAAGAATGGGCTTTGCTAAATCAGCAATTTGGGTTGTCTCTGGGAGGTCATTAGCAATCCCAGCCCAGACATTTCGAGTGGTCTCAGACCTAGATGCTAGACTTTTTTTCTCCCTAAAAATCAGAGAGTAGGAAAAGAAAAATTCAGGTGAAAATACAATAGTAGAAACAACACAAAACAATAAAGACCCAGAAAACTCTGCATAGCCACCGAAGTGTTAAACTTCTGAAGCTATTCATAATGATAAAATTGTTGGAAGAGAAAACAGCTAATACATCCTGATCAAGGCCTTAAATATTTTAAAGAAGAAAAGATAATAATGAAAACAAATCCTATAACATTCAATTGGCATTGGAGTACCTGTCACACAGTAGGTGCTCAATAAATAATTTATTGTTGACTTGATTTTTCAGGAGAAAAATTACTGTCTGAGAAAAAAAGAGTGATTGATAGAAATCCTGCCACTTTGCTTTAAGTGTTTCTACACTGCTCTTTGAATTTCTCAGCTGACTATAAAACACATGCTAAGTTGAGTACCACCTGATGGGTTGATATGATTAGCTTATTTTTCCCTCCTACTTTCTTGGTTTTTGTTTTATAACAACTTACAAGCAAAATACCACTGGTGCTCAGCAGCCCCAGGCTGCAGCAACTACAACACAAAGGGGCACTCCCATGGCAGGGATGGGACATCCGTGTCCAGAATTCGGATCTGGCCTACGTACTGGCAGATCCTGCAGGGCTGATAGCACTCGGTCTTTGTGCCTGAATCCGACACACCAGCACTTGAGCACGTGCGCACTTGCACACACACACATACGTGTACTGAGGGTGTTAGTGGGACCGTTAGACAAGAAGGACAAGGATTAATACATGGGCATTTGGGGAAATGTTGCGTTAAAAGGAAAAAATGATCTAAAAAAAAAAGCAATGTGTGTTTTGTGAGGAATCTGAGGCTCTGGAAAGGAGGAGGGAGATTAAAGTGATGGTGTCTGAAACCACGTTTTTAGCTTTATTTTCCTCACCCAGTGATCCTTTTCCCACCTGCTGCCTGTTTTCTCTAATATGGGACAGTGAAAATTGGGCCAGAGAAATAGACTGTGCATGTGTGCTGATTTGATCAAAGGAGTGTGGTGGAGGTTCAGTTTAGGGACAGCGTGTATAAGCACACCTGGGACAATTCCTGGCACATTGCAGGTGCCCGGGAGCAGCGAGCCCTTCCTGCTCCTGAGTCCTCCGTGGTCGGAGAGCACATGGGATCTGTGGTGTCCGGTTAGTTTCTCAACACCCAGGACATTTGTGTACAAAGAGAATGAACGGAAGGCCAATAGGCTGACCTCATGAATGATAAGTGAGCAGATGAAGCTACATGTATTCAAACAGTTTAGTTGCCTGTCTCAGACTTTTCCCTCCAGGGACCTCCTTTGTCATGAAATTCCATCAAAAGATACTCTTTGCGATTCCGTCCCTCCCTTTCACACCACAGCACCTGCTCTTTTTCTTCTTCTTCAGCGACTTTTTAAATTTTATTTATTGTTTTACTCATGCTGCTGTTATCCTGGGACACGTTTCCCTTCCAGTCCCAGTACTAACCCCTGAGTTGGCTCTGCCTCCCGCAGCCGCCTCCCTCTCCCAGTCCTGACCCAAGCTGCCACTGCTGTCTGTGTCCCCTGAGGGGGAATGATTGTGTCCGACTCTTACGGTGCTAAGAAGTGGTCACGTACGACTCTCCTTGTGGTTAGGAAGATGAGCATTTAAAACCCACTCTGGAAGATGCCACTGGTACAGAAGGCCTTTTGCAGCAACTAAACCAGCCTAGAAAAATAAGCCAATTCATCATTAGCACTCAAACAAAGACTTTTGAAGACTTGTGAACAGAGGAAAGAACTGTGAATTACAGTAAGTCCCATGTTTTGTGGCATTATATATACTCCAGTGGTTTTTGTGATAACTAATCATCATAACGGTGATCCTGGGAAGGGAAAACTATGTTCAGTTGGACAGGACCTAATTTTTCTGAAAGACAAACCTGATTTTGTCTTCCCATTGTTCAAGGCTTTTGGGTGGTTCTTTGGGATCTGGCTCTGGCTTCTCTTTGACCTTAAACCCTTACTCTAGTTGTGCTGACCTACTGGCAGCTCTCTTGCCAAGGTGTTTCATACCTCAGGGCCTTTGAACAAACTCTTTTACCCTTGGAATGCTCTTTCTCCCCACGATTCTCCTGACAAGCACTTATTCATTATGCCACCTCCTCCCCAAAGTTCTGACACCCTCAGGTTAGACTGACCTTCCTCTCTTTTGTGTCCCCTACAGAACCCCACATTCTTCTCCATTACAATAATAATTGCAACAATAAACGTCCCCTCCTATTGAGTGCCTTCTGTGTGCCGGTAGCTGTGAGTGCTTTTGGTTGTTATATCACTTAATCCTTGCCACCCTGTGAAGAAGGCATCGCTGTAGATATCGCTTTACCGTGAGGACTCTGAGGCTCAAGTTGCATATTTAAGGTCAAACAGCTTGAGAGTTGAGGAGGGCAAGCTGAGCGCAGCTCAGTATCCACCTCATTGGGTTTTAGGAGAATCCAATAAATGTGAGCTATGATTAAACGTTAGGAGATGTACAAAGATTCATGTCATCCCACACTAACTGAAGTAGTATTTGTCCATATAGAGAAATGTGACGTAGCCAATGCCCACAAGGATATACTGTGTTAACTGTCACACTTGGTGGAGAGATTATGAATGGCTTCATTTACTTACTTTTCTTACCTGCCTTTTAGGGTTTGTCCAGAGTACATGAACTTTTGATGAGACTTTAAAACAGAAGGGAAGGAAATCCCATCTACCATCTCTGCGGTGCTTTAACCTGCGCCACGACGCCCCAGGGCTTGAGCAGTTCCAGTGAAGGGACACTCGGGAGCTCATTGCATCTGTCAGCACTTCTGATTCTCAGAGTTCTTGCTTAGCCTGTCAGCTTGTAGTTTACAACAGTTACAGTGCATTCATCTATTCATGCAGCTGATACTTACTAAGTGCATCCTAGATGCCAGGCACATGATAAGTTCTGGGGAGACAGTGGTGAGTGGAAGCCAACCGAGTTCCTTTGTGTGTACTTTGGGGGTGAATGGTTGCTGTTGGCTCTTGGGAATGCTAAGAAGTGCCACCTGCAAATGATCTCGAATGACCCCCATTTTGGAGGCAGAGTTTTTTTTGGGGGAAAGAGGGAATGAGCCTAAACTATTCCCACTATTCGATCCTCCCCTTCTCTGCATTCTGCCGGCAGCCTGACAGACCTGGAGTGGTGAAGCACAGTGAAATCTTAAACAGAATCCTTCCGTGTAGCTATGAGGGCTCTGCACCCCGCTGGGTTCCTCTGCCACAGCCAGGGTGGGAGTGAATGGAAGACCAGCCTGTCCCTGAACTTGCAGCGTTAGGAGTGGCTCCGCTGAGATTACCACAGACGCTGTGTCGGGGTTAGCGCTCAGCACCTTCTTTCCTATCGTCTCTGTAACTCCATTGTTTTAAGCAAGCCAGCCGACTTTGTAGCCAGGGTGACTCACTACAGACAAAGCCTCTGTGAGAAAAAGATGAGATCTCAGAAGCTTCTAGAGAGCTGGGAAAATCACAAGCCACCAGCAGTGCAAGTTCCAATTCCAGATTCCTAGGCCAAAAAAATAAAAAGGTAATTCAATGTGAAACAAACAAACCTGGATGGGGAAGAGGGAATGGCCTCCTGTAACAGAGTGTTCCTGCCTGACTCTGGAACACAGTTCAGCCTTATCAGTTCAGGTGATTCTGGCAAACTTTCATTTTCAACATCCAGCAGCACAGTTGGTGTACACAGGGAGGAGACATGTTAAACACGGATGTCATGACTTGAATTGCTGAAGCAGTATTTCAGTTCTGCTTTCTTTAGATCCTCCCCCCTCCACCGCCCCCATTGGCCAGTTTTGGAATTGTTTTAAACCAGTTGTCCAAGGATTGTGTTTCCCATCAGAAAAATACTAGTAAGCTGATGCCTGGCCAGTATGGCTCAGTGGTAGAACATCAGCCTATCAACCAGGAGGTCAATGGTTCGATTCCTGGTCAGGGTACATGCCTGGGTTATATATATTAAAAGTTCAGTTGCAGTAAAATA